AACAAAAACAAGGGAGAATACATTCACTGCAGAGTGATAGAATCCCTCTGGTTGGAAGGGACCTCTAGGATCATCAAGTCCAACCTTCATCCCAACATTTTGAAGGTTGATTCTTCTTGGAGGATGCAGCTTTGCTGCCCACAACCCAGCTCTGCAAAAAAACAATGTCACCTGCAAGGTAAGAAAGCTGGGCAGGGCCCAGAGGTTCTTCTTGACTGGATGTGCTGATGTGTTCCCCTTTCAGGACAGCAGGATGGCCACTTGGTAGAAATTACCAAAAAAAAAGAAGTGTGCTCACTGCCCAGGGGTCTGTCTTCATTGTCTAGAATCTGGCTCCTACATTTCTGTAAATAACTCCCAGCAGGGACACTCAAATATTGCTCCATGCAATTGCCACTTTTGCACACACTGATGAGGTTTTGTGGGGCTTTTTTTTTTGGTTTTGGGGTTTTTTTTTAGTGTGCAATTGTACCACAGTGTGGACTAATTAGATGCCAAAGGTTACTTTTAAATGCATTTTTGACTTTGTTGTAGGCCACATCTTCTGGAAGAAAAAAAAAAAGTGTCTTAAATGTGTCTTTGAATAGTTTTATGTTCATGGAACAAAAGGTTGGACTTTCCTTTTTCTTTCAAACACTTGCTTCTCTGTTGAGACCATGCATTGCAGAAGGTTTTCATCTCAAATAAGAGTTTTTGGCAGGGGGTGTGACAGGATCATTATGAACCTTCAGAAAACTGGGGTCTTCTGCTGGAGACAGGGAATGAGCTGTAGGAGCCCGGGGAGGAGAGGTGTGTGGAGCCCACTGCAGTCCCTGAGCAGGACCTGCAGCAGTGCTGTACCAATAACTGGAAGCTGTTGGGGTTTCATTTTTTTTTCTTTGTTTGTTTCTTATTTGAATTATTCTTTTTTGAACACAGGAAGGCTTTGAGGATGGCCTCTGCATGGTTCCTAGTGTGTGCTGTGTGCTGGGGGGGTGGTTTTATAATACCTGGGTTTGCTCTATGGCTCCTTGAGATGTGTTGTGGGTTTTGTTTTGTTTTTTTTTTTGGCTAGCATGTCTTAAATCTTCAGGCTTTGGAACTGCTTTATAGAATTGTGTTGACTTTTTTTTGTTCTGCTGTTGTTCAGTTGCACAGAGTTTTCTATATATGATGTACTAGTTTTAACGTTAATTCTCTGTGAACAGGGTTGAGGTGATTCATTGTAGTTTTAAAAAAAAAGAGTTGTATTCTAAAACTCCCTTTAAAAAAATCTCATTTGTATTCTGTTGCAGTGTTACCAGATGGCCTTATGTACGTCACAGTGGTTTGTGATAAGTACAGTAGCACATTTAATGCTTATCTCCCCCTCTCCCCCCTCTGTTTTTATAGCTGAGAAGTATATTCTTAATAATAGAGATGAATACATGGGCAAACTCTAGCAATGTGTGCAGGGTAGTGGCTGTCTTCTCTCATCTTAGGGCAGCTGGAATTGATCTGAGGCTGAACCATCTCTGAATAGGGACCCTTAACCAACATGAGACTTTGTCTTGGGAGTTCTGAGAATCTCCAAGCGAGCTGATGGCAAATGTGAATCCTAAGAAGCTTCTACATCAGAGGAGATCTGTTGGCTTCACTGCAGCTGCTCTGAGCTACACTTGAAGCTGGTCTTTGCAGTCTATGGCTCAGGCAGAGCCAGGGGAGAGAAGTTTTAAGTTAAATTTCAGAGAACTTCAGCAACCTCCTCAGCTGTGGTGAGGTGTGACCGTTGTTCTGCTTGTTTTTAAAGTGCACATCTGTTTTGGAAAGTGACTTTCTGATGCCTGGAGTGTTTACTCCTCAACTGAATCGTTGGCTTAACCCAGGTTCTTTGCCAGGGGGCAAGAGGATGTCTGCAGTGGTGTTTGTGCTGCCCAGCAGGCATCCATGCCAGTGCCAGTGCCAGTTAACTCAGGCATGGATTCCCATTTCCTTTCCTGGAATTCTGGTAGAACCATCAGTGGTTAAAAATTACACCAAAAGCAGCAGAAACAACATTTTCTCTTTCCAGAACAGAACTGCATTTAAAATAGATATACATAGCTTTAGATATCTATAATACCAAGTCAGGAGACAAAGCAGGTTAGGTTGTAGTGAGTGTCTCAGCTTCCTACACTGGAGACTTTTTCTAGACATGGTCTTTTAGAAACAACTGTAATCATACAGTTCAGTGCTCTCCTTACAGTTGGGTGAACTCTCCTGGGAGAGAATTGCTTCTCAGCCTATTTTGTTTTTGGAAAATAATACCTTATAATAAGAGTATCTTAATGCCATTGTGTTTTAAAAAAAAGATAAAGCTGATATGTAATGCAAGTACATAAATAGCCAAAGTTTTCAGTAATTGTTCAGTGTTACTAAATTTGCTTTTATTTAACCTTCCAAGATAACATGTTAGGAGGACCTTCAGCGTGTTGATATCATACTGAAAATAAAAAACAAAGTCTGATCAACTTGATTCTAGCAGATATGCAGTTATCTGAAGACATTTCAGGTCTGAATACAATTTGGAGGCAAGAGTTCTGAGATGCAAAACTCCCTTTGGAGGAAGCGTGCTGTGCTGACACTTCAAAGCACCAACCACTGCTTAGGAAGAGTGGTGGGTGGGCAGTTGTTCTTCAAACAGAATTGAAGGTCTTTCCTGAGAAATCAGGTGACTTTTCTATTGCTTCAATTTTTGTGCAAAAAAAAAACAAATAAAAAAATCAATGTATTGCAATCTTTTTTAAAAACGGGGTGGGAATAGTTAAAGAAAACTATTTTCTGTAAGAACTGACAGAGGGATTTGCTTTGTATAATGCAAGCTGGCTTTAAAAAAGCATTGTAGCAAATTATTCAAGTCAATCATATGTTAATAGTTATGTGCAACCAGACATGCAAAACAATTGTATTTTTTTAAATAAATATTTTTAACAAACTTTCTGAGGTTTTGACTGGTGGGGTTTGTTTTTTTTTTTCAGTAGAGGAAATAGAAAGTTCCAGCTGCAGGGCAGCTTGGGCTGGGGCTGAGGGAGCCCAGCAGAGCCTGAGGGACCCTGGCAGCTCCCAGCAGGGTGGGATGGAGGCAGAGCTGGTGCTGCTGCTGCACAGGATTTGGGCCAAATTGGGCCCTGTAGCTCTGGGGAAAACGTCCTGTGGTGAGTAACTCCATTCTACATCTAGTGCTGATAGCAAAGGGGAGGTTTGAGTTGTCAGGTACAGCTTGTAACAGCAGAGATGTCATTCTGGTGCCAGCATTTAGCTATTAACAATCTGCAAGGACATCATAAGGTGCTTTTTTTTTTTTTAATAGCTGACAGTCCCTGGTGTGATAAATCTGTAACATGAGGAGCCTTCTTTCAAAATAAACTCCCTCACTGTATTGTTTCGTGCTCATTTCCTCTCGACAGGCATGGAGAGAATGCTGTCATGGTGGGAGGGGCTCAATTAGTGACAGATTGGGTGGTTTTTTTGCTGCAAATGGGCTTTGCAGTACATGCTTTTTTCATTTTGGGTATCTCAAGGAGAGTAATAGTGGCATCCTGTGGTGCTGGAGAAGAATTACAGCATGTGCTGTGCTGCGTGGGAGGCAGGAGGGGCTCCTGAAATCCACTGCTGAGTTCAGCCCTGGAATTCAGTGCATTTGCCTCCTTCCTGCATTGGCCTGATGCTCACTCTGATCTTTGGGGATGCAGACAACTCAACAAGCCTGTTCTGTTGGGAGTTTTTCTACAGAACCACTTGTAGGAGCTCGTGAAGCTACTTTATAGCTTTATTTTATAGCTTTATTTTATAGTTAAGATCAACTGCTTGGAAAAATAGAAATGCTAAACCCAGCTGAAGTGAAACAGCTGCTGAATTGTCTGATTTGGGAAGCTGGAAGGGGTGAAGGGGGTAGCTGAGAGCTCTGGCCAGAAACAGCTGAAGTTCCGAGTGCAGTCATGCTGAGAATCTAGCAATCAATCAATCACCTTTAATTAAACGTTGCTTTATATATACACACCTACATATGTACATCCACATACAGCAGTTAAAGCCAAAAGGACACGTCCAATCACTCACTGGAGAACAGATGCTCGTAGCTGGACACTCATCTAAAGCCAGTCCTTTCTTCATAGCTTGTAACAGGTCATGCAGGGTTATGAGAGTACCTTGCAGAAGGCACCAGTTAGAGTAAGTATTGCACAGATTAAGCAGCTGGAGGCTGGCTCCCAAATAACCTCAGTTCAAGCTTCAAACTGGAAGCTGGAAATCAAACCACCCTTAAAAGACACTGCGACTAGCAGCTAAACTAGTGACTGAAAGCAAAACAAACCAGCACAACTCATTCTGGACTCTAAAAAAAAAACCCAACAAAACAAAGCTAATGATTTTAATAATCCAGAGGCCCTAGCATGCTGAATGAGATGCTGAGTGAACACATCTGATGCCATGTGTCAGTCAACTGTGCAAATACAGACAGGTCCTGCTACTGCTGTGCACTCGGTGGGTGCTGCCAGTTGTGTCATTTGTCCCCCCCTTTGGTCAGGGAGGTGACATCTGCTCGAGTCTGTCCAACAGAAACAAACTCAAACCCAAGGTTGTGCTGTGAGTCGTGGGGGCTCCTGGGGGTTTACAGGCCAAAAAAAAAGTCTCTTTAAGTTCGATGGCTGAGCCAGGAGCTCTTCAGTCTTACCTCTGGAGCAGAGAGAAGCTCCTCCTGCCCACCCTCCATCCTGAGCTGGCGAGGAAGGGCATTGGCAGGAGTGCCTGGGCTCAGCTGGTGGCTGCCATGGGCCTCAGGGGCTGGCTGCTGCTCGTGGGCTCCCCGGGACACGTCAGGCAGGAGACTTGTGCTTGGCTGGAGGCAGTGTTAGAGGATGTTCTCTTGATTCTGACTTACCCCATCTAATGTGCTTTTGATTGCAGAAAACTCGCATGATTCAGTCATTAAAGGTGAAATCATCCTGAACAGTAATGCTTGATCCTGTGTGGGGTTATTGCTTGCCCAGGGCACGGCCACTTCTCTAGCCCTGGTACTGCCCCGTGTCGCCCGTGGCTGCTGCTTTGTCAGGTGAGACATCATCCACATCTGCAAAAGTGACATCAGACACTTCACCTGGACGTCCCAAACCTATTGGTGCTGCTCCTGTCCCCCACCAGACGAGGCTTGGCAGAAAGAGCTCCAGTTCCCTGGACACCTTTCCTGCTGGTCAAGCAGTGCTGCCTTTCCAAACAGTGCTTGTAAAAACAAACAGCACACGCAGACTGAGGTGATACCTATGAGAAATCCTTTTCCCTTTTGACTTTTCTGTTTCTCCAGCAGAAAAGAAAGCAAACCCTGAGCTGTGGCTGCCAAGGCTTTGTGGGCAAGTCAAAGCAGGAAGAGGGGACAGGAAGCAGCAGTAAAATAAACATTTCCTTGCATTTTGCTGCAGGGCTGCACCCTGGTTACGTCTCGATGCACAGGCCACTCTTCCTCTCGTTACAAAGCAGGGCTGAGGGCTGGTGCTGTCTTACCTGACGAGGGCTTGGGGTACATCCTGTGGAAAAACAAGAGCAGAGTGTAGAAGGTAAAGGCCAAGCCTCCAAAGATCATCCCACAGACCAGGAAACTGTAGCTGCCCTGATCATGTATAATCTGAAAAGAAAGAAAAGAAGGGGACAGACATGTCATCATAGCACTGCAACACCTAACTGGCACCCAGCAAGAGCTCTGCTGTTTGGCAGCTCTGGGGTAGTGCAGCACTTTCCCCCAGCAGCTCTCCAAAACCACAGCTCAGGTTTGCACTGAGAGGCTGCAGCTGGTTTTGCTGGGGCTTGTCAGCACTTACCGATCCCACCAGGAGCTGCAGCACCATCTCTCCAATTCCAGCTCCTGTCACCAGCACGGTTGTGGCACAGCCTGCAAGGAAATGGGGCAGGTGATGCTGGCAGGGAAGGGGTGGAACAGCCACAGCAGGGTCAGCTCCAGCTGCTTTGAGCTGCCCTGTCCCAGATCGCTCCGTACAAGACGTGCAAATCCCTGTGTTTGTTCCCAGCTAGTGTGGGTGATTCCTTTTCTCACCAGTGTTAGTGCAAAAAGGTGGAAGTTTAAGCCAGAAACCCATCTCCTGTCACTGGTCTCTGTTGGCAAAGGTGATGTTGCTTCTTGCTGGAAAGGTTTTTCATTCTCCTGTATCACTGCCCTGGAGGCAGAGGTTGGCAGAGCCCTCCTGTAAGGGCTGGCCAAGCTCGAGGGTTTTCAGTTCACTGATAATCTGGATGATGATTTTTTTTTTCAAAACCAGCTCCCTGTAAGCCTCTAAAGCAGATCTTGTCAGTCCCTGAGCACCCTAAAGCTGCAGGAAGCTGAGAACCAGCCTGGATGCTGGCCCGTGGAAGTCATTAGCCCAAGGAAGGTGGGATTTGTGCAGTCTGCTTTCCCAACTACAACCCTGAACAAACATGGCATTCAAAAGCAGCTCCTTCTTCCAGGCCTCCAGGGCATCCCTGAAGAGGGAAAGGAGCTGCTAGGGGTGATCATAGAATCATAGGGGTTGGAAGGGACCTCAAAAGATCATCCAGTCCAACCCCCCTGCCAGAGCAGGGTCACCCAGAGTACATCACACAAGAAGGTGTCCAGGAGGGTTTTGAATGTCTCCAGTGAAGGAGACTCCACAACCTCTCTGGGCAGCCTGTTCCAGTGCTCTGGCACCCTCACAGGAACAAAATTTTTCCTGATATTCACCTTGAACCTCCTATGCTCCAATTTGCACCCATTACCCCTTGTCCTATCACAGGTCATCACTGAAAAAAGCTTAATTCCATCTGCCTGACACTCACCCTTTACATATTTGTAAACATTGATGAGGTCACTCCTCAGTCTCCTTTTCTCCAGGCTAAAGAGACCCAGCTCCCTCAGCCTTTCCTCATAAGGGAGATGCTCCACTCCCCTCATCATCTTTGTAGCCCTACGCTGGACTCTCTCCAGCAGCTCCCTGTCCTTCCTGAACTGAGGGGCCCAGAACTGGACACAATATTCCAGATGTGGCCTCACCAATGCAGAATAGAGGGGGAGGAGAACCTCTCTTGACCGACTACCCACACCCTTTCTGATGCACCCCAGGATGACAGCCCAGTGCTGAGCTCAAACACCTCTGCCCCACCTGCCCCAGCTCACCTCGGTACTGCAGGATGTCCTCGGTGTAGGCCAGCATGCTGGGGAAGGTGCTGCTGAGGAACAGCCCCAGGGATGCTGTCCCCACGAACAAGAAGACGACGCTGTAGGAGAAAATCAGGAGCAGGAGGAAGGTTATCAGGACTCCAACCTGTGAACAACACCCAGGGAGTCAGGAGGAAGGTCAAGGATGAGTTGCGACAGGCTCTAGGTTCTGTGTTTGTTTTTGTAGAAAATACTCTAGAAAATACACTAAAAATAAAGAAAACAGTCTCTGAAAAACTGAAGTCACTAGCCAAGGAAAATGTATTTAAACCTTTAAAGAATTTGGTACATTGCTAACAGGACTTAAAGTGACTATATGCAACTCACTCCTCTCGACTTCCTTAGGCAGCAACTTAAGATCATACCTGAAAGATGTTTTTCTCTTTTCTTTCTCTGCATTTTTTCTCTGCAGTATGACTACAATAGTTCTGCTCCTTCCACATCATCTACGTGTGAGCTCACCATGGCACAGCTCAGCAGAGGGAGCTCTGCAACACCAGCTCAAGCTCGTTCTTAATTGCTTAGGCCCTGATTATGGGTGTGTGGTGCACACAGGAGCCACTGGGATTCTAAATGAATTGAATTTGTGTCCAGTGCTGGGCTCCCCAGTTCAAGAGAGACAAGGAACTGCTGGAGAGAGTCCAGCAGAGGCTGCAAAGATGCTGAGGGGTCTGGAGCATCTCTGGGACCAGGACAGGCTGAGAGCCCTGGGGCTGTTCAGCCCAGAAAAGATTCAGAGGGGATCTGATCAAGAGCTAAAGTTTGAGGGGCAAGAGGATGGGGCCAGACTCTGGTCAGTGGTGCCCAGTGACAGGACAAGGGGCAACAGGCACAAACTGGAACCCAGGAGGTGCCACCTGAGCAGGAGGAGAAACTTCTTTGGTGTGAGGGTGCAGAGCCTGGAGCAGCTGCCCAGAGAGGCTGTGGAGTCTCCTGCTCTGGGGAGATCCCAAACCTGCCTGGCTGTGACCCTGGGCACCCTGCTGTGGGTGAGCTGCTGGAGCAGGGGGGGGATGAGATGATCTCCAGAGGTCCCTTCCATCCCCTACCAATCTGTGATTTCAAACTGCAGTTTGCTACAACACTGAAATGGCTCCAGGAGCTGCTGCCTCTTAGACACAGAGCAGCACCAACGAGCCAGCACCACACAAAGGGCTGTGTCAGGCAAGTGGATTGTCATCCTTGGATGGTCCTGCCACCATGGCCTTCAAGGGGAAGGGAGAACCATCCAAGGCTGGAGGCTGTTGTGTCTTCTTTCCAAATATGAGCAGCCCATGAAGTCATCCTGCCCTTGGCTTTGTTACTGGAGCTATCTGCAGTTTGGACAAGGGCTGAAGCCAGTGGAACACATCAAGGAGCTGCATGGGCCTCTCCACATCAGGCACCTGAGGTGGATCTGCTGCTGCTGAGCTTTCCCTGCTCCCAGCTACACACTGACTGGGCTGAAGCAGAAGCTCACTCTCATTTCTAAACCCAGCACTTTTCCTTTGGCTCTATCTCTTGGTGTCTAAGCTCTTTTTTTAAGTGCCCAGCAGCAAGGTGCTGAGCCAGCTGCCTCTCCTGCCTCCTGCCTGCTAAAAACACCCCCCAAAATCTTCACCATGTCCCCCTGTGAGCTGTCACTCCTGTTCCCTCCCACCCCCTGACAGATTATTGGCCTCACAATATCAACTGTGAAACTTGCTACCAAAATAACTCCTGGTTTAAATAAGTTGTAAATGAGCTGCCTTCTCACTGCTTTCTTTTCTTCTTTTGTAAGCAGTGTGCCTGGGAACAGCTCCCTCCCTGCTGCCTGCCCCATCCTCACACCCATCCTCCTTACACACCCCTAAAGGATTCCATCCCCTTTCTTCAGGCCCGTGTGTTTTATTCATTTAAGCAACATCACCTTGAGTTCTTTGACAGCTGCTATGCTCTAAGTAGAGAATTTATTTAACCTTCTCCCTGTCCCTTCCCCTGGCTCCCACGGGCATTATTTCCTTGGAGATGCCAGAGTGCAAAGGGAGTAAAGTTGGCAGACACTTCCCTAGGTGCTTTCACAAATCCAGCAAGCTCAGCAAAGCAACAACCACGTCCAGCTCTCAGCTACCTGGAGCACCACAATCAGCTGCAAACATGCCAAGGGAGGGATGCCAGGGGAGGCCTGGTGCAGATCTCCCAGCTCTGCCCAGCAAACCCACCCCCGGGCAGCATCCTGGGGGCAAGGAGAATGACAAGGCAGCGATAACAGCCTTACCACGTTGATGAAGACCATGGTTGCTGGCTTCATTCTGTAGGACACGGGGATGGAGATGAGCCTGCCCAGGGTGATGAAGCCCCAGAAGAGGCTGGGCAGGTAACCAGCCACTTTATGCACCACGGAGAGAGGCTCCTCCACGGCGTAGCTGTACACGAAGCCTGAGTACTCTCCCTGCAGGGAACACAGAGCCCCGTGTCACACCCACTGGTGACTGCCAGGCTTTGCCACTTCAACCTGTCCCTCAAGCAGCCACAATATCTCCACAGTGCTGGCGAGCCCACCTATGGATTGGCTACCACATCTCCACCAGCCTTGCTCCCAAGGGTTTGCAGCTGAGCCAGGCTTCCACCAGAGGCAGAATACAGGACTTAAGCTCTCCTAAAAGGGCAAGACTCAAGTGTTACTAGGTAAAATGCACACTAAGCACCTCTCTGTGGAGCTCTCTCTCTTCCCTAGGGACTGCCTTGTCCTTCTGCATGTGCATACTCTCAAAACACAGCACAGAGAGAACCTGGAGTGGATCATCCTTGAAGATGGAGGCCCTGGAAGGTTCCTGTGTCTGACGGCTGCTTTGTGGAACCCCACTCATCCTTCAGGACCCTGCTTAACGCCCTGGTTAAGACCCAGCAGGATTTTACTGTGAGGGGACTGAGATAAAGCTGCTGAAAGCAAAGACCAGCACCTTGCCAGCCAAGAGCGAGCTGCCCTCGCCCCGAGAGAAGTGCCCCAGCCAGGGAGCTGCTGGAGGCCACCAGAGAGGCTGCACCAGCCCCACGGCCTCTCCTCTGGGGTTCTGAGGGCTCAGGAGACCCATCAAACAAAGAGCCACCCTCTCATCTGGAATGCAGTGAGGCTGCCCTTGCCTCTTGGCTGCAGTGAGAAGAGACCTGCACCACGGACGAGCAGACAACGCCACGACTCCAGCTCTAAACTGACCAGCTCAGCAGCAGTACCAACCTCACTGCCACCTCACAGAGCCTAGGAGAAGCCACAAAACCCTCCCGAGAAGCTGGGCACATATCAACCTGACTATCATTAGCCTTGGAGGAGCTGCCTTGGGACCCAGAGTGCTGCACTGACCCCTCAGGTCCAGCCCACTGCAGGCAGAGGACATGTGCTGGGTTTGGGGCCACTACAAGGGATTTGGAAGGAAGAAAGCCAGCCAGCTTTGCTCAGACAAGGTCCCCTCTAGCAGCTGAACTCACCACAATCCCATCAGTCATGAAGAGAACAAGAGCCCCAGTGATGTGGACTGCGAAGTAGGTGTAAGAAGCCCCTCTGAAGTTTTTGCTTTGGCAGCAGCTAAATAAGTCATCATGACCTGGTGAGAAACAATGCAAAGCACACTTAGGTGGAACGTCCCCCCGGGGCTGGGTGGTTGCCAGCCCTCAATGGGATTTGTTTTGCACTCAGCTGCCCCACAGGGATTGGTAGAGGATGGTGAACAAGGTGGAGCACCCCTAACCTCTGCCTGTACCTACCTCTAAGCTCTCAGAAGGAAGATGGGTACACTGGTGGGCTGCTGGCCACAGACTGGGATCCTGGCTCTCTGTGACACTTGCTGCTTCTCTCCCTGCAGCTGCTGGTGCTCCCCTTCCCACTGAGGAGCCCCACACTGCTGGCCCTGCTCTGACAGGCAGTAGAAACAAGCCCATCCAACCCTCATCCACACAGGAGAGTCCTGCCCAGGATAGCTCACGTTCCTCAGAGAGATGATATTTAACCCAACAAGCCAAATTTGGGGAAGATAATCACACAGCTAGTGTCACCTTCTCTGCATAGACCCCTGGGAGCAACAGCTGGCCAAAGCTGGGGGCCAGGACCCCAGGAATCCCCCACTGTCCCATCCTCCTGCTTATGTCCCAGCACTCTGGGACGTGCAGAGGGCAGGTACAACACCTGGAGTCCTGTGCAGGTGAGGCTGCTGCTCCTGCAAGGCACAGATGAGATTCTCCCTGGCTCTGTGGGGAAGGGAGGAGGATTCTGCCCGCACAGACGTGCCTCAGATCACAGCACTCAGCACACGACCCTCCTGCTTCTCTAAGGATTCATCTCAACTGCGTTTAAGAGGAAGATGGAGAGCTGAAGAACACGATGTTCCCATGGGTTGCATGAAAATGGGCAGCTGGGCTGAGGAAAGAAACCACCAGTGTCTCACTAAGGGAGATGCTCCCAGACGAGCACAGCCTCATCAGCCACCAGAGAACCCCCTCCCTGCAGCACCTCACCACATCTCCGACTGCCTCTGCCTTCAAGTATTCCCTAAAATTCCCTTTCGTTGCTCAAGCAAGGCCACCTCTTTTCTAACAACACTGAACACCCCTCTGATAACCCCAAATTATAATTACTTCCGAGATTCACCGTTTAGCTGAAGAGTTTACTCTGATATGTTCCTCTTGGGTAGCAAAGAACAATGTCACTATTGTCCCCCAAACAGGGTGTAGTCACAAGTTCAAGAGCAAACTCTTGCTGGAGTTTAACTCTTCCCCTGAAGAAGGGCACTGGCCTGCAGCAGGGTGGCTGGTTCTAAACTGGCCACTCAGCGAAGCCAGCCCAAAACCTGACCCCAAACCAGAAGGAAACAAAGGGCCACAACTTCCACGGGTGCTCAAACGACTTGGGAAGCCAGGTTTAGTTTTAGGACAGCTTGAAGAAAAGCAGCCTGGAGTCCCAACAGCCAGACACTCAGTTCAGTGGTTACGGTCCCACCTAATTTGAGGGCAATTAGGGAAGCAAATTGCCTCTCTGGGCACTTCTGGATTACATTCCCATGTGGAAAGCTTCCTCCTCAGACAATAGTGATGGATCTCACTTGTTCAGCTCAAGGGAGACATTCAGAAGTGTGGGTTTTTGTCCTCCTGCTCCCCTCCCTTGCTGTTCCAGCCCCAGGAGGGAGGTTCCTGAGCTCACCTCCTGGTCCCTGGGCTCCCTGCGTGGTGCTGGGCAGCTCCTCCTTCTCCACGGGCCGTGTCTCCATCGCCAGCTCGTCGGCCGACAGCAGTGGGTGGCTGCTGCTGCTCACACAGGGCACCATCCTCTCCTTGTAGAGCAAGAAAAACACGGCGATGGGCACTGGGAGCTGGGGGGAGAGAGGGGCAGTTGAGCACCAGGAGCCTCGCAGCAAACACAGACCCACCCATCCGTCACAAGGGGCACCCAGCATCTGCAAGGGCTGTGCCTGAATTGACCTCTGAGGGTGAGGGGAGAGGCTGCTGTGGGGTAAGGAGCTGCTGCAGGAGGGATGGAGACTTGTTAGGAGAGAGAGTGGGGAGAGGGGGGTGGAAGAGCAAGTTGAGAGCAAAGATTCCTGGTCTGGAGGAGGGCTGGGGTGTCTCCTGCCAGTCCCTGTGGGATGACAAGTGGGCTGGGGACAGTTCACCTGGAGTAGGGGACAGGGATGCTGGAACAGAAGGCACCTAAATGCAAACCTCCTGAAGCACTGCACTAGCCCCTCAGAAGCAAGATGCTCTGGTGTCCAAGCATCTGGCCACTTCTGCCCAAAGAATAAAATCCTAAAGCAGCTTCTGCCTGTGGAGAGCAGAACAGTTTTAACAGGAGCCCTTCTGCAGCTGAAATTCTTTCTGAGGGAAGAACAAGCTGCTGCAGAACCTGCCTTGCCCACCTCCAGCTGTCAGCAGAGGTTGCTCAGCATCTCCTAAGAGATGAGCTCGTGGTTCCCAGGCCAACGAGGACAGCACTGCTACAGCCCCTGGCTCCAGCCCCTGCTGAGGGACCTGGCCCCAGCCTCCAGCCCTTGTCCTCTCAGCTGCTGTGCAGGCCCCCAGCACACCCCAGTCCCACCAGCACCGTTCCCTGCAGTCAGAGCTTCCAGCCTGGCTCTTTCCTGCCCAGCCTTGGGTGCCCTGGCACCGTGTCCCCTCCTCACTGGGGACGAGCCTCCACCCACGACTCAGTGGTGCCTCCGAGCCCAGAGGGATTTGCTCTTATTTTTAAGAGAAACCAGAGGGAAGCAAAGGAAGCTGGATCTGCCCCTCGCCAGCCCTCCCTTCTCCTCCCACCACAGCCCAGTGGTGTTTATTCTGCAACAAACTGGGGGAGAAAGCCAGGAAATCCTAAGTGACAGCTCACTCTCCAGCCGCCCAGCGCTTGTTTGCTACATGTCTGTGAGCAAGTGTGAGCTCTTGCTCCAAATTTCCTGCCTTTTGTTGGCTCCTAGCACGATTTAAATGTATGGAGAATTCCCCCCCGCCCCCCTCCAGCCTCTCTAGCCTGAATTCATTTATGAGGACTTCATTGTTCTGGGAACAATGGGAATAGGAACAGTTAGTTCGGTCCCATGGAAGAAAAACGCATTTGCTTGATAGTTCTAATCCTTCCGGAGGTCAGGACCAGATTTTATTCTTCTAAATTGCTGATTTTGCAAAAAAAAATAAATAATAATCCCCAGGCAGAGGGACTGGCTGTACAGACAATGGCTCTGGGCAGCGTCTGAGGAGCACTTGATACCTATGAAGAAATGGGACCCAGCTCCAGGGTCCCCACTTCCCAGTCCGAGCACAGGCATGTCCCTGCTCCCCAGATCCTCACCTCCAAAGCAAGCAGGTCCCTTTCCCTTTCCCCAGCCTGGCAGTGCCTTGGCTGCTCGTTGCCCTGACCCCATCAGCCAGGAGCTGCTCACCAGCACTGGCTCTTTCTGGCAGGACATGCCCCAGAGCTGGAGACTCACCCAGGGGCTCCCACCACACCAAGCCAGCTCAGGAGAGTGGGGCAGAGCAAAGGACCAAGCTCAAGAGAAAGCAGGTTCCCAGGGCTCCATCCTGAGCCAGCCCTGCACGCCTCTGGGGACACTTGTGGCCACTGGGCCCACAGGAGGGACTGGCTAAATGTCTGGGGAGTGACAGGGGATGGAGCATGCATGGAAACAACTCAGTTATTACGTGGGCAGATGGAGAGGATCAAACAGCTGAACACCAGAGCACATTTCACCAGGGAAAGGGACAAATCCCTCCTGGAGGAGCAGCCTACACTGGCCACAGGACAAGGACAGTGTGAGGACTGTCACTTCCACTGCCCACACAGGGACAACCACTGCCACAAGCTGCCAGGGGGGTGCTGAGCCCCTCTCCCCATCCCCAGCTCCCACAGGTCGTGGCTGGAGAGGTTGGGTGGTGGTGATGAGCCTCTGGAGCCAGGATTTGTGCCAAGACACACAGGGACAGGGCCACCGTGCTGATGACAGGATCTTGCCAGTCAGCTCCTCAAGCAGCTTTGGTTTTCCTGGGGCTGACCCCTCGGCTGCCTGGGATGAAGCAAAGAGCCATCAAAGCCTTCCCACCCTGCAGGGAGCCCAACAGTGAGAACCAGAGATGAGCTGCAGCCACAGCCCCTAAAATAAAGACACTGGTCCTCAAAGCACCACCCTGGCCCACAGAATCGATGGTCCCCCAGCTGTCCCCCAGTTATAAACCACTGCTACTGCTACAAGAAGGACATTGAGGGGCTGGAGTGTGGCCAGAGAAGGAGAACAGAGCTGGTGAAGGGTCTGGGGATCATGGCTTGTGAGGAGCAGCTGAGGGACCTGGGGGGGTTCAGTCTGGAGAAGGGGAGGCTGAGGGGAGACTTCTTGCTCTCTACAAATCCCTGAGCAGAGGTTGGAGTAAGGGGGGGGTTGGTCTCTTCTCCCAGGTTAACAGCTGTAGGATGAGAGGAAATGGGCTCAAGTTGCACCAGGGGAGGTTCTGATTGAATAGTAGGAAGAATTTATTCACTGACAGAGTGGTGAGGGATTGGCCCAGGCTGGAGGGGGGTGCTGGAGTCTCCATCCTTGGAGGGGTCCAGAAAACCTGTAGATGTGGCACTTGGGGATGGGGTTCCATGGTCACGGTGGTGCTGGGTGATGACCTCAGAGCTCTTTTCCAACCTGGATGCTTCTATACCCTCCAGAAGCTGCTCCCTCAGGCAGCTGAGCATGGGCATAGCCCAGGCTCCTTCCCCCAGCCTCTCCCCAGGAGCAGGGGGGGTTCCCTGCTATTGTACCCAGGCTACTTTTAAGCCACCTAAGCACAATGCAGTGTCTTGCACTTCCCCTGGGACACCACCTTCCTGACAAACACATCCCCCTTGGAGGAACATTTTCCTGATTTCCAGCCCCTTGGAACCAGCTGGATGATGAAATTTCCGTTCTGTGGGAAACTGAATTTTAAAATATGGGTTGTTTTTTTTTTTTTTGTTGTTCCCAATCTGCAGGAAAAGCCAAAAATCTTCTCTTAGAATGAAACGTTTTGGCCGGGAGTCATCCCAGCACTTCGTTTTGATAATGTTGAACCACTTCATTTTTACTAAAGGAAAAACATTTTGCTTCAATAACAACTCTTCTGTCAGCTTCACCCTTTGCCTTTGTGCCAGAGCCAAATGGAGACATTTCCACTTTAAACAAAGCAAGAAACTGAACTGAATCATTTCAGCTTGTGTCTTGTCAGAAAACACAGGGCCCTTGAAAACTGGGAGGGAAATGCCTCTTTTGACCATTTTACAACAAAGTTGCTGCTCCTGGTTTCCATTTCTGTAGCTTATTAAATTTCTTCCACTCCCCTGGGGTTTTAAATACCAATTCTCATCATCATTCTCTGACGTTTACACCTTAAAGAAGGGGCAGTTTTGGGGCTGAGCTACTCCCAGTCTCTCCAGCCAGCGTGTTGGGTTATTTAGTTTAAACAAGGGATCTCAGGGAGGCTTTGGGAAAGACAACAACAGCTCAGCTCTGGCAAGGGGACACGCTCCAGAGCGGCCTGTGCAGCTCCTGGCTCCTCTTCTGTGTGTTTCCTAACCCTCTTCCCAAAAACCAGTCTCCCAGCACTCCCTGCCCTGCTCCCAGTGCCTCTCCTGGGGTCCCATCCTGCTTCCAGCACATCCACGGGGTGCTGCTAGGAGCAGAGAGGGGTCTGGCAAGCACCCTCCCACCCGTGCTCCAGGTATTCAGACACGTGCTCCTCTTCAAAGCAGATATTACACGCTGCCCTCAAAGCTAAATTAGTTTGCTCAGGATCGACTGGCAGAACAGATAATGCTGGAGTGTAATTAAAAGCCCATTTCCCGTGGCATACAGAGGTAATTAAAGCTGCCTTCTCCTCCCAGGCAGGGAGCATCCCTCCTGGCACTTCTGCAAAGGACCCGTTACAGCCCCTGCCCAGCACTGGCCTGTTCCTCTCCTCACATCAGCCCCAGGCCAATGAAAGCCCCTGGACTGGGTGCAGTGGGGTGGGTTTTAGTGCTTCAGAAAATGGGACAGGCAAGAGCAGGAGGAAACCTGTTCCCTGTGCCTAGTGCAGGTGGAGTGGTGGAAGATCAAACGCTGCTCGTGGCCTGGAAGAGGGAGAGGTTGCACCTCATGCCTTGGCAGAAGGGCAGTGGCTAAACCTGCACAAGGGAGGGGCTGCAGGGCAGATGGGCAGGGAAAGGTCCTTCTGGCAGCACCACAGCGTGGTGGGGTGGGAAGGGACCTCTGGGGATCATCTCACCCACCCCCTGCTCCAGCAGCTCACCCACAGCAGGGTGCCCAGGGTCACAGCCAGGCAGGTTTGGGATCTCTCCAGAGCAGGAGACTCCACAGCCTCTCTGGGCAGCTGCTCCAGGCTCTGCACCCTCACACCAAAGAAGTTTCTCCTCCTGCTCAGGTGGCACCTCCTGGGTTCCAGTTGGTGCCCGTTGCCCCTTGTCCTGTTGCTGGGCACCACTGACCAGAGTCTGGCCCCAGCCTCTTGCCCTTCAGATATTTATAAGCATCACCCCCCACTTCTACTACAGGAGGTCTCCAGGTGAGCAGAACAGGGACCACCCTGGCAGCCCCTGCCCTGGCACAGCCCCTGTAAACAGACCACAGAGCACCCTGCAGCAAGGGCTACACAGCCTGGGCTCTGCCTCCTCCTGGGGGACCCCTACCCCTGCCAGCAGGGTTTGGGGCAGAGCTGCCCCTGGCATCAATCCTGGCATGCACAGCACCCCCCTCTCTCTCTGCAACAGAGTGCTCAGCTCTCACCACTCCAGATCTACCTGGGGGCACAGGGATGGGCAGGGTGATGGGCACTGCCCAGCAAGGCTGGCCAAGGGACCAGCTGCACTTAGCCATGCTGGGAGGGGGGTGTTAACCCAGGGGTAGGCAACAGGGCCAAAGTTTGGGTCAAGGCCAAGGTTCAAAGCCAGCCCAGAGCCTGGAGGCAAGAGCAGCTTGCTGGAGATGAGCTTTGGGACTCAGGGCAGGGACATAGGAAGGGCACTAATCCTGCTCTCTCCCAAAGAAAGGGCCACGGGGCTCTTGCATCTGCTGCAGATCACCAGGCAGAGACACCCTGGTGAAGGTTTTGACCCCAGGAACTCAGTTCCTCATTGGGCACTTTGAACATCTCCACCAATCCCCCTCCTGCACCGAGCCCCTGGCTGGGCTGAGCACAGGGGATGGAGCCTGTGGCTTTGGGAGCAGTTAGCTGGTGTAACCCCCACCCAGGTGGGTGCTGGAGGCACCACCTGCTTTCAGAGAGACCATCCAAATCCTCCCAGGACGAGACATCCACCTTATCCCATCAGCAGCACAGAGTCCTGCCCTCCTGCTCTGGGCACCAGCACAGCCACCTCCCATCCCCTTCCACCACTGGGACCCCCAAAACACCACAGCTGCTGGCCAAGCTGAGGGGCAGGGATGTCCCCAGCAGCACTCACGTTGATGAGGGCCATGATCCAGAAGGCGTAGGAGACACGTGTGACCACCATGCCCTTCATGGGCAGGTCGTAGTGGGACAGGTTGCCCGGGTGGTGTGGCACCAAGGACTTGCGGATGTGGGGGAGGTTGCTGGAGGCGTTGGCTGTGGAGTTGGAGAGGATGCAGTTGGTGTCTGAGAGGAAGGGGTCGGCTATCAGAGGGCTCAGCAGCGCCCCAAAGCCCACGAAGAAGTGAAGAGCCTGCAAGAGATGAGACACAGGAGTTGAGGGGGGGGTTTCACTGCTCTGCTCTGCCAGGGAGGCTGGCTGAGCCCCTCACTCCTCTTCCTCAGAGGAGGAAGCACAGCCAGAGAGGAGACAGGGGCTCCACGCTCACCTGCAGGAAGATGGCTGAGTCCTTCTGGTAGATCTTCACCAGCTGCATGTTGGAGATGGTGTCGATGCAGCCCATGGCCAGCCCTGCCACGGCCATGACCACAGCCAGGACCACCACATTGTGGCACAGAGGGATGATGGCAAAGACCAGGGAGATTGCCAGCGACGAGGCGAAGAGGGCGAACAATTTTTTTTAAGAGGAGAGACAGGACAGAATCACTGCCAGGGAGCAGCACCCAGGTCACAGCCCTGCCTCCCCAGGTCAGCACAGTGGCACAGGCAGCAGAAGGAGATGCACACACAAGCTGCAGCTCCAGCTAATGCAGCTCCAGCTCTTCTGACAAGACAAGGGAGACGTGACCCACCCTGCACCCCCTGTGCCTCCACCCCTGGGGTGTAGCCAGCCTGGGGCACTGCCACCTCCTGCGTGGAGGGTGATCATAGCATCACTCTGGTTGGGAAGGACCTCCAGGATCATCAAGTCCAACCTTCATCCCAACATTTCCCCCCCCCCATCCCCCCAGGTCCCAGCCATAGCCAGCCTGGGTCACTGCCACCTCCTGCGTGGAGGGTGGTCATAGCATCACTCTGGTTGGGAAGGACCTCCAGGATCATCAAGTCCAACCTTCATCCCAACATTTCCCTAACCACTAGACCAGAGTTTCACTCGTTTTCTGAACACCTCCTTTTTTTGATGCCTCCAAGAGGCAGATCTTCCACCCCACCTTCATAGGGAAGAGTAACCCTCCCTTCAAACCTGCATCCTGCACATTGCAAGGCAGAATAAGGCCTGAAAACCTTCCCTTGTTCACTGGGCATGGAACCTGGGAATGGAAAGGGACATGGGTACATGCAGGCGAGGCCACATCATGACTTTTGAGCAGCTCCAGGACATTCCTCCAGGTTCCCAGCAGGAACCCCAGTTCCCAGCGGGGAGGGAGCTGCTGGCACCCACGTCACCGTGCCACCCCAAACCTGCCCAGCGTGTCCCATCCTGCCTCCCGGGGAGCTCTGGCCCTTCCCTCCCTCTGTCTCTGCTTTGGGGGCATCACCCCCTGCCCCAGCACATCTGGGGGCTGCCCAACCCCCGTGGTCCCCCAGAGAAGCCCCAGGGTTGTGTGTGGTGGAGGCAGAGCTGGCACATCACACCCTGAGCCTGGCAGCAGCACAGGCAGGGCCCAGGGCAGGGCAGGCAGCAGCCAGCTCGCTGGAGCTGGGCACCCAGCCTGGCACCGTGTGTGCCCGAGCTGCCAACTCAGGAGGGAGGAAGGAAGGAAGGAAACGGGGACCAGACAGAGCACAAACCAGCAGAAAGAGGGGGCTCTAAAGTCACAGCAGAGAGGCACCTCCTGGCCTCCCAAAACCTGCTAGAGGCCGGTGGCAATGCCCAGCAGCTCGCTGTAACGAGCTGCTAATTAGCAACAGGGGGCTGCAGCAAAGGGCTGGCACAGCACGGGTACAGCCCCAGCGCAGAGATGGAACCAGAAAGCAAAATGTGTGTGGCTGTCTGCTTCACACACTGCCCAGAGAGGGAGGAGAAGGCCACGAGGAGGTGCAGCAAAGAGCCAACAGCCCTCCTGCCCTGACTGCTCGCCCAGAACAGCCCAGCCTTGGGCATGTCACCCTGCTTCTGCGTGGCCCTCATCCAGCTGGGAGCCCAGGGCGAGCTGGCCACGTCCTGCTCGGTGCTAACGCTGCACTTCAGCAGCACTGGGGAAGCCAAGGGGCCAAGGGCACGTCTCCTGCATCCTCCAGCTCCTGGGCGTGCCCCCAACCATCTCATCTCCCAGCCCAGACCACGCTGGAGCCCACGGTGGTTTGCAACACCACGACTGCTGCTCGTCCTCCAGCAGCAAAACGGGGGAGCCAGCGTGGGATTTCTGGGGGAGGGAGGGAGGGAGGGAGCAGAGCGAGATGTGCACAGTCACGGCAGGAAAAACCACCAGCAAATGGGAGAGCAGCAGCTCTGGGCTGGGAGAGATGGAGCTGCCCTCCCCAGGGTACAGCGGGAGGGAGAGGGGCTGAGGCACCAGCAGCTGGTGACTCTGAGGCCCGGAGCGATGGGGAAATGGGGACTGAGGTGTCCCAGAAACTCCTCTTCTCTTCTGCAGCCCTAGCAAAACCACCACAGCACTGCTTGTGCTTGCCTAGGCAGCGTGGTCGTTACTGGAGTTAAACATTAATTGCAGATGATGTTATGTCCTTAGAAAACATCTTTTAAAAATCACCTGGCTTCTCCCCCAGCGAGCAAAAACTCCTGTCTCCAGCCAGCTGGCAACAACACAACTGCAGCCACCCTGCAAACAGCAGCAGCCCCCAGCCCAGGGTGGCACACAGCCCTGCTGCCCCTTCCCTGGCTCAGGAATTAGTGGCCCCTTCCCTGGCTCAGGAATTAGTGGCCCCTTCCCTGGCTTCCCATGCCACAGCCCCAAGAGGCAGTGGAAGGGCACTGCCCAGCACCAACCAACCCGCTGGAGGGTTCCTTTAGAAACAAACCTCCTTAAAAGCATCCCTAATTGGGGTACCCCATGACTTCAGATGGATCTGAACCCCCTGTCTTGAGGCTGAAGGACCAATGCACCCCTCCAAAGGGGTTAGAAAGCAGCCCCAGTGTTGTGCCAAGGTCTGGTTTCTGCCATCACCATCCTCCCATCACTAAGTGGTCCCCAGGAGCAGATGCACAGCTCAGCTCTGCAGCAGCTGCAGGCACCCAGGGCAGGCTCTGCTTCAGCAGCAGCTGAAATAAGTCTTGTAATGTCACAGACTTCATTTCAAGACCACTCAGAGTGTGTCCTGGCCCCGTCACAGGGCTTGAGGGGAGGTCTGCAGCTCCCTCAGAAAGGTTTAGGCTGATGTCTATAGGAGTAGGGTGGTTATTGCTGTAGTCACAGCCAGCAAAGCTTCCCTCTCCTTCCACAGGACACAGAACCCCCCACCCCAGTGCTCCCATTCCAGCAGGCAGCTGGAAGCAGCTTCCAGCAACTTCAAGCTTTGTTTTTTTCCACTCCAGTGAACATTTTCCAAGTCCCTGACATCAAGAAGAAAAATGATAATCAGGCAAATCAGACTTGCAAAACTGATAATAAAAAAGCCCTAAAGGGATGAGGTGAGGACACGGAGCAGGAAGGCACATGGATTATCCCACATCTGCCTTTGGGTACCCTTCTGTCCTGCAGGAAGCACCAGCCAGGCCTGGGGACTGTCACCTCCCTCGAGGAGCTCAGGCTGAAGTCACTCTGCTCCCTGCTCTGGCAGCAACAAAAGACTTGAGTTCCCTTTGTGGTGAGAAGCGTCCTGCCTGCACCAGCCACACACCCAGAAACCTTCAGAAGATGGGAGCCTGAAGGGCAGGGAGAGAACAGGGTGACCCACCTCAGGGGTAAAGGTGAGAGAAGGGTGAGAGGGTCCCATCCTGCCAGCCCTCCAGGTCCTGCTGTGGATCCCTCCTTCACAGGAGCCTCCAACACAAAACCAGCCCCACCAGCCCCCTCCCCTCCTCTGCTAACACCAGCAGGATGAGCTCAGGGATGACCCAAATGCTGGGAGAGAAAGCAAAACATACAGGAGGACCCAAAAAGGCAGTTTCTGAATTTAAAAATAAAATTAAAAAATGAAATGGCAAATTGGGAGGTGGGTGCTCAGCTACTCTGGTGTTTGTGTCACAAAGGTGTGTGGCACAGCAGCACAGAGGGAGTGTGACCTTAACTCCACAAGGGGAGCTTGGGGAAGGGGGAAGGAAAAAAGAAAGAAAGGGGGAAGGAAAAAAGAAAGAAAGGGGGAAGGAAAAGGGGAAGGGGGAAGGAAAAGGGGAAGGGGGAAGGAAAAGGGGAAGGGGGAAGGAAAAGGGGAAGGGGAAGGGGGAAGGAAAAGGGGAAGGGGAAGGGGGAAGGAAAAGGGGAAGGGGGAAGGAAAAGGGGAAGGGCAGGAGGGGATGCAGGTGCACAGTTTGCAGTGCCAGGTGCTCAGGGGTGGATTTCCCAAAGAGCTCACCTCCCACTGGGGCTCCTGAGTGCAAGCAGGGTTGCAGGGCCCCTCAGCACTCCCCCCAACTCTGCTGGCTGGATTTGCAGCCTCACAACGCTGCAGGAGTTCTGAGACCCCAGTCCAGGTGACACCAGGGAACAGGAGTCTCCAGCGTGCTTCACTCAAAGGGGCACAGGGCTCCTTTTGGAGGGCAGCTGCTCCTGCCAGGGCTGTCCTTGCTCCAGGAGCCTCAGCCAACAGCACAGCAGCACTGGGGCTCCAGCCAGGGCACACACTCCACCTGACCCCCACCCCACTCACACACACCCCCCCTTGGAAGCTGCATTCTCCTGAAGCAGAGCTGGTCATTGTCACCCAGCAGACCCCAAGCAGGAGTTCCCACAGAGCAGCAGCCTGCTGTGAACCTGAGTGTGAGCCCAAACCACACGTCCTGCACCTCCTGACAAGCTGGGGATGGGACCAGGCAGCAAACCCAGGTCCTGAGCACCAACACTGTGTCCACATCACCCAGGGAAACTCCCCATGGCAAACTTTCCTCTTCCTTGAACTCCTGCATGAGGGGGAATTCTGGAGCCAGCTCTGGCAGCCCAGGCTCGTGCCGAGCCACAGAAGGGACAGATGCCACCATCGTGTCCCTTCCTCCCAGTGCTCCAGGACTCCAGCTGGGCCAGGAGAGCAGAGACCACCACCCAAACCCTTCTCCTCTGAGGGGAACCAAGCCATTATTTATGTCCCACCACCCACTTCTGCCACAGAATCCAGTAACGACAGCGCTTTCCCTCACGAGACCATCCCTCAGAGCAGGCAGCTCAGAGCAATACATATTTTAATTGTAAACAAGCAACAAACTCTGGGCTCCTCAGGCACTGGAAATTAAATGCAGCTTGCAGCCAGACCTCAGCTTGGCTGGTTTGCAGAGTTTGGGTTCCTCTACTAGCAGCTATCCATCTCCTAACTGGAAAAGATGACCTGTCCAGCACTCCTCCCTGCTCAGCACCAGCAGAATTTGATTTCTAAACCCACAGCATGGCCCAGAAGTATAAACCCTCAGCAGGACAGCTCGATCTGTCCGTCCCTGAAGAGAGGATGGAGCCGGAGCTCTCAGAGCCTGAGCAGTTAAATGGTCTCACTCAAACCCAGATGTCTGTGCACTGAGCTGCTCCCAGTAACCCCCAGCAACGCCCCAAGGATGTGACCCATGCA